ACTCACTTAAATTTTTGTGATGGATTTTGATCGAGATAAGGAGAAAATTTAATTCCAAAATTGTACGTATATTTCCAGGTTAATGTATGTAATTTTTTTAAACTTGAAGTTGGGCCACTACTTCAAAGACGAAAAATTACATACATTAACCTGGAAATATACGTACAATTTTGGAATTAAATTTTCTTCTAATCTCGATCAAAATCCATCACGAAAATTACAGTGAGTTTTTATTTAGATATAACTTAAATATTCCGCCAGGTTTCAAAAGTTTTTATTTTGCACCAAAAGAGTTACAAGCGATTAAAAATCGGAAAAATCAACAAAGTGCCAATTTTCGACTCAAGATTTTTTACATTTATAAATGGAAAAAGTAAAAAGTGCTAAGAAAATTTGATAGTTCACCGCAAATACTTTACATTCAGTGAGTTTTTATTTTATTTAATAATTCCACTTTTTAATAATTAATTAATAAAAATCCCAAAATTAGGTTATTTGACAGACCAACTTTGAAAACTTATTTTATATATTATTTTAATTTATTTACTACTTTAATCATTAAAAAATAGATAATTAATCGATTCTAAACAAGAAAAAATAATTTTTTTTACACTTTTAACAATTTTTCTATGTTTTTAAAAAAAGTTTCTAAATGCTAAAAAGGTGACATTTTTCCGCACCTTGTCCACTTTAAATACATATTTTGAGATAAATAATAAAAATTTAAACTTAATTCTTTTTATTTCGTTTCCTAAATATTATAAAGAATCATTTCTGAAAGTACCAAGTTTTTTAAAAATTAGGCCGCAACGACTTTAGGTGAAATATAATGGAATGACCCTCAAGTTAATAAATATAATAATTGTATTCCTTGCATTGAAACGAATCGATATGTATATATAAAGTATATGTTACACCCAAAATTAATTAACATTTTCTTAATTTTTCAAAAAATTTAATTAATTTAAAATAGTTTTCAACTCACAATTTTTTAAATCAATCAATCGAATTTAAGAAATTCATAGCTTCCTCCACGAGGAAGCAAATTTTTTGCTTCACACAATGAGGAAGCAAAATGTTTATGAAATAAACATAAAGGACCCCCTCCTTGTTTCTCTTTTAATTACTATTATACTGTGCTTGTTCTTTTAATGATAATTGTGATTTGTATGCAAATTAATGTTCAGCTGAAATAAGCTTCATTTGAAGTTTCACTCGCTAATAAATGAAAAAAAAAATACCTGAATATTCTCAAGGTGTTGATTCTCGGAAAATTTTCTAGAAACTTACGGATCAGTATCGGAAAAATGGATTCTAGAGAAATTTTCTGTAATTTTCGTGAAGCTTCCTACAAATATTTTTATATAGAATTGAATGTCACAACTATTACTTTTCTGATTTTTCATACACTGAATTTACTGTTTTCTAATAATGAATATGATTTTAATTTTGCAAGCTTATGGGCAAATCCACAGAACCGGCCTATTTTTACTTATCAAGATGAAAATTTTCCAAATAGCAAGCACACCTTTTATTTATGGTTTACTTTCTTTAAAATATATTCAAGAACAATTATCTTCTTGCGTGATTCATTTTATTTTAATGCCGTTTGAGTTAAAAGCCAAAAACGAAAATATTATTTTTCTTCTGGAAATTATAATTAAAAATGGCATTTCTTTGTTTTTTTTAATATAATATTTGAAATATGTGCAAAACATTTTGAATAATAAAATATGATAAAATACAAATAATTAATTTTTTAATTATCAAAAATAAATTATTTATATTTTATCATATTTTATTATATATTTTATTTATTAGCATTTAATTTTTTATTTCTGTAAATTAAATTGTTTACTTACTAATTTTGATATTAACTATTTTAACCAACAAACTGACATTATTGACATCGATTTTGATATAACTTTGAAAATAAAACAAATGAAAGGATAATTCATTTTTCACGATTAACTAGTTAAATTTCGATAAATTTTTTTTTATTTTTAATTTTTAGACGTTATAAATTGAAAATATAATTTGGCGTTTGCATACAAGAATTATAATAATGTCTTTATATAATCACACATGTTTTCAACTCATAATATTTTATCCTGTAGTTGTGCTACTGAAAAAAGGCTAAGTTGAAAATGGTTCACGCTTAAACATAGAGTGATAATTATTGGAATATTTTCTTTAATTCTGATTGCACACAGAAAAAACCTGAATTCAAATTGAGTATAGATTCTATACTCAATTTGATTCGCAACAAAAATGAAACTGGTTGTCTCATTTCGAGTTCTAAGGTAAAAGTATCAAAATGAAACAGGCAAGTTTCATTTTGAGAAAAAGAAAAATGGAAAAATATTGTGAAATAACGAATAATTTTGCACAAAAACATGAAATATAATAATTACAAAGAAGTAAATAACACGCTAGACTTAATATATTTGATTAAAAATTGCTTGTAATCGCGTAATAAAATAATAAAGGAAATATGTTTTTAGGTTAGAAAAATGAAAACATGTGTTTTGACAACAGGAACGGTACTGCCAACTTAAATAATAGCGGTAAATTTAAAAACTTATGAAATTAATTATTATCTACGTAAATAATAATAAATAATTTTTATTTAAAAACTTCTAAATATTCGTACTGGTCAAAATAATCTTTCTGGTGTTGTTGAAATATTAGAAACAATAATTGAAATACAAAATTACTCTGCTTATGATGCCAACTTAGAAATCTGAAATTCCAGCCAATATCATTTTGAATAACATGAAGTTTGTCCCATACTCATTTCGATACCCAAAAGAAAATGAGTTGCAACAAAAATGAGTCCAAGTTTTTTCTGTGCACTCTATTCTATGATACATACATTTGTTCGTCTGTTCACAAGCAATAAGCTCCAATTTGAAAAATTCAAATCGAATAATCGCCGCAAAAGATATTTACAAAAATGTATAGACATTTCATTATTATAAAATAATGAGTAACGCTACTTTCAACGACTATCATTTCTTTTTATTTAAGAGCACATATTTTTTATTACTTTCAAAACATTCTTCAATAAGTAAACTATAATTCACCACAGTTTGGAATTGTTCGGATCTATGCCGAACAAGTTATACCTATAAGAATTAAAATTTATACCTGGAGTAACACCGTAAATTTCATTTTTTAAGTTACTTAATTCGATTTTATTTTTTATAAAAGACTAGAAGGTTCACATTTATTCAATTTTCTTATTTCAATAGGTTCTCAGAGATATTACAAAATGGTTGAAGTATGAAAATAATTAATATAATACTTCTAAAATAGAAAAATATGTGAGTAACATGAAATCGGCCGGTTCTGTGGATTTGCCCTTATGACATAATTCTTCAAAAAAGTTTTTAGAAGAAATTGAGTATTTTAATCAATTTGCATCAACTTTAATTGGTATTTACACAAGATATTATTCTGCTATTAATGTCGCTTTCATAAAATTCAATACAATTTAATACTGTGGCATTCGTTGATTATTGTCAGTTCTTAGTATTATTTTCGCTAAAACCCTTTTACAGTATTCATTTACTTTGCTTTTTTATAGATATAGAATTATAGTAACAAGTTTTAAGCAAATCCAATCGCTTTTTAAAATTTTGCCCGCCATATTGAATACGCGATATTGAATTTTTTAAAAATCTGACATAAGATTCGTAATCAGCGACCTCAAAAACCTCCGAGTAACAAGTTTCAAGCAAATCCAATCACTTTTTAAAAATTTGTCCGCCATATTGGATCTGCTATAATGAATTTTGAAATTCTGACTTCAGATTCGTAATCAGCGACACCAAAAACCCCCGAGTGAATTTTGAATTTTCAAAAAGTGCCATTTGGCATCTAAAAGTATTTGTTTTTACCTAAATATAAGCCTATGCCTGATAATTTAAACGTAATCCGTTTTTGGAGAGCAGGGAGGTCCCGTTGACGAAGAATGCCTCATACAATATTGTCATTTTTTTAACAAAAACTGAAAGAACTCCGCACCATATACATGGGAACTTGGGGTCCGGTGAAATTTCTTGAAACATTGAAATTTTGTAGTTTTTGACGAGATCGAAATTGAAATTTTATCTAAAATGTATAAAAATGATGAAATTAATAATATAATTATTAAAATCAATAAGTTTTATGCATTTTAAGATGATTTTTGTTGAATAATTATAATATTAGTAAAATATTTTATATTATCCCTGCTAAAAATAAAATCACAGAACGTCAAAAAATTAGTCAGGATCTCTGACGTTTTGAGAATGTTTTTGTTACGATTGCAGTCACAGCACACCACAATAAGTGAGGTTTAGTCAAAGAACCGTCAATAGTAGTCAGATTTTTTATGAGGGTCGGAGCTGACCCTTTATTTGGCCATACCATAAATCATTAAACCCTGTGACTATTTGTGATGTTAAATGACATTTCTTTCTATAAAATAGTTTTCAAGATTCCTGACTTACTTCTCATGAATTCTGACTACAAATATTTAAAAATTAGAAAAAAATCAATATTTTTTAATTAAAAAAATAAATAAAAATCATTTATCGTACAACATTTTTTTATCTTTACGTTACACATACTCAATTATTATTTTTACAATTTATTATATTTATTTACCCCTATCGAAGAAAATCTCGCAAACGCAGGGAATCGAACTCACAACCTAACGAACGCAAACCGAATACCTAACCCCTGAGCTAAACTAACCTAACTGAGATCTTAAAAATAGAATACGGTTTTATGAAAATAGAAGATCTTATTACTTTTTTTCAATTTTATCAACATATTTTGTTGATGATTATTATTATTATTTTAAAAAAATTTTATAATTTTTAAAAATTAACAAGTAAAGTTAAAATAGGTATATTCTTATATTGATCAAAAAACATTTTTAGTCCAATTATCATATATTAATGTATTCAATTAATAAAATTTGCTGCGACCTGAGTTTAGCGAAACTGAGTTTAGCGAAATCTCGGAATCGGCAACAATAGGATGGTAATTAAGCGGTAAGCGTAAGATGCTCCGACTCGAGCAGGAGCGTAGAAGTAAGGCAACGCGGTTCCTTCTAGTTGAAAATGAGTTTAATCTTTAATTTTAAATAAAAAATTTGTTAAATTATAAAAGCTTATTTATATACATGTATACAAATTTTATTTTTGTTTTCACTCCCAGCAAATTTATAAATTTACTTTATGAAAATCTTAATTTTAATATTTGCTCTCAATGTTATATTTGATGAAATTTATATTATTTAATTTCAAATAAATTTAAAATTTATAAGGCAAATGGTGAGTTTTTCCCCTTTCTTGTCTGATGTCAGTACAATTATTTGAATTTTTATTAAAAGTAATTTTAAGTATTACTTATTACTGTTTATAATTATAATAAAATCTAAAAATTAAAATATAATTATAATAATTATTGCAATAAAAATATTATGTATTATAAGATGAAGAATTTCCAAGAAAAGAGTTTAAGGATTTCGTATTTCAAGTAGTTCGTACGGCCCTGATTGCTGACGTCGATTTCAGGAAATCTCATTACTGAGTTTAGCGAACGACCCACCAAACCTGCCGCTAAACTCAGGTCGCAGTGTAGAAATAAAATAGTCTAGAATAATAAGATACTGTCGGATTGTCTCAAGTAAACTCTAAGCGAATTTTATCAGGTTTTTCGCTCACGTTTTAGCACATTCATTACTATTATTATTAATTATAATGATAAGAATTAATTAATATGCATATATTAATTACTATATTATTAAAATTCAATTTAACATAATTCTTCCACAAATTCCTGAAATTCCTGAATATTCTATACATATTAAAAATTCAAATAATCATGGTTGCAAATTTCTAAAACTCCTAGAAACCTCTGGAGCAAGTATTGAAAAAGTAAGTAATGTATATAAAGCAAGATGCTTATTATTGAAAGATTTTAAAAAAAGCAACAATGAAAATGACAGAACATCCTTTGCTAAAGAAATTGAATCTCCTAAAATTTTAAAGAGTATAGATGTATTTTCAAGTGTAGCAGATATGTGGGATTTCATTATGAAAGGAGAACCAAGTGCATTTAGATTGATTCATTGCAAATGTGGTTATTCTTTAATGCAGGAGGTTTCGTATTTCTACTTAAATCCTGAAATAATTGCAAAAGATGGATTTAAGAATCTTCAGGAGGCCGTAATTGACAAATGGGAAAATGCTTTAGCCTCAAATTGTGAGTGTGGACAAAAACCATTAGAATCATTGAAGCTTAATGCACACATTTTCATTGACGGTGATGTCAGGTCATTGGACGGAAAAGAAACACCTCAAATGTGCAATGCTTTAGAGCTTCCAAACTATATTACACTGTATGGTTTAAAATTCAGGTTAGTTTTAAACTACTGTTTTATTTTTTTTGCAATAGAAAACTACAATTAAATAACAGTAATATTAATTCTTAAATAATTTTTAAATTCTAATAAACACATTGAGAGTGCAGTCATACGATTTTGTATTTTTGTTTGCAAAATCTATGCAGAGTTTTGGAAATTTTGTATACAGAAGCTGCGTGACTGTACTCTAATTCAAAAAGTAATTTAAAAAAAATTCACGATAAGTTAATATTTTTTAAAGTTAAATAAATAATTTTTTTTTGAAATATAACAAATATAAGTAAACATCAATAGACACATTTTGAGAACATTCTATTAATTAAAATTATGAACGTTTACTCCTAATAGGTTAACAGGCGTAGTAATATACGATGAATCGCTAAGTCATTATACAGCTCTTTGTACAACCAAATATAAAAACTGGGAGATCTATGATGACTTGAACTCCAAAGTGACAGCTGTAAATAAAAAACACATTCAACCAGGAGGAATTATTTATATCCAAATCCAAGGATGACTCGAAATGAGTAACATTTCAATTTTTTATAATACATTACTTATTTACTAGCTTTTATAATTTTGACCACCAAACCTCCAAAACTGACTACCAAACTCCACCAAACGATATCAAAATGAATTTTCAAAAAATATTAATTTTTGTGCTGATGTGAAGTTAGCACTCCAAAAATAATTATTTACAAAAAAATTCTTTTTGGTAGTATTTATTGCTTGTTTGGTGGTGTTTGGTAGTTCATTTTTTATTAGTAATTATTAATTAATTATTAAAACATACATTTAAAATCTTTCTCAATCTACTGACTTTTATTTGTAACATCTTTTCCCCCATTCCTTAAAAATAAACTTAATTAAATTTAAATCTTAGAACTTTTAATTTGTTTTTTAAGGTAAGTATTGTAGTCAATAATTTTTTTTAAAGTTTCTATATTTTTGAGACTTTTATGACTTCTAGATAAAATTCTCATGTTTTCTAATGTAAAATACTGATTTCATAAGAAATTTACATGTAAAATTAAGAAAGTAACGAAATAGTTATATTTAACAATTTTAATTTTCCTACCGTAACATCTAGCGCATTCATCCTTACTCACCATAATTAATTTTTTACAAATTAGAATTATTTTTTGTAAATTTTTGTTTTGCTTTTATTTTATTTATCAATTTTTATTATTTTATTTTATATACAATTTCATATATGAGGCAAAATTCCTGAAATGTCCGAACAAAAAATTAAAAGTTCTCGAATTTAATCCATACTTTTCTAAAATATTGTTATTGTTGGTGAAAGTCTAAAAATCAATTATTATTGAATTTAATAAAATAGTTTTTGAATTACAACGTTTTTAATTTTTGACTTTTGAAAAAAAAATTTTTTTTCAATGTACAATATTTATAAGTAGAATGCATAAAAGTTAACATATATATAATGATTTTTAAAGCTTTTTTGACGAGCTACATGCTGTTAATAAAATTTTTTTTTTAAAATAACATTTGACCTTGAGATTCAAGGTCAAAATGTTAATTTACGTTTATCTCAAAATCGGATTTTTTAAAATTATTTTTAACTATCTCAATGGAAAGCTTGACTAATTTCCTACAAAACATGTAATTTTCAGAGTGGGATCTTTTAAAGTTTTTGAGATATTAATTAATTAATTAATTAATTAATTAATTAATTAATTAATTAATGTTTATAACAAATTAAATATATTACAAACGAATAAAGTTACCGTAATTCTGAAGTTAGTAATTGAAAGTTAACGTAATTCCGCATCCAACGAGCCCTATATGAGAGATTATTTTTCAATCGCCCCAGCCCAAAAAGTCATTGTTCTGGGATTGGCTTCATACTTTGGTAAATTGTTCTCCTATATGATAGTAATAAATCCCTAAAATATAAACTCATTAAAAAAATATTTGTAGAAAGTAGAGGGGGTTGAAGTTTTGACGTTAAGGGTAACATTGTCATATTTAAATCCGTATAACTATGACAAAAGTTTATGGATTTTAATTTATCTATAATGAATTTTAATGCATTTTTCACGTACTTTTCAAAAATGTATATGAAATTTAAAAAAAAAAATTTTTGACCCCTTTTTTTCAAAATCAACCCTTATTTTTCGATTTTCACCCCTTCGGGTATTTTTTTTTTTATTTTATTTTCATTGGAAAGCTGAGGTTTTTTCCGATGAGCTATGTAAATATGAAAATGGGACAACAATAATTTTGTGAGAAACAGAATATTAAAGTAGGCGGTGTCGATAAGGAGTATACCTGGAGACCATATTTGAGGATTTAGGTAGGCACCGCCTAATTTAATATTATGTTTCTCGCAAAATTATTGTTGTCCCACTTTCGTATTTACATAGCTCATGGGAAAAAACCTCAGCTTTCCAATGAAACTAAAAAAAATTTAAAAAAAAATTCCCGAAGGGGTGAAAATCGAAAAATAAGGGTTGATTTTGAAAAAAAAGGGGTCAAAAATTTTTTTTTTTAAATTTTGTATACATTTTTGAAAAGTGCGTGAAAAATGCATTAAAATTCATTATAGATAAAATAAAATCCATTAACTTTTGTCATAGTTATACAGATTTGAAAATGACAATGTTACCCTTAACGTCAAAACTTCAACCCCCTCTACTTTCTACAAATATTTTTTTAATGAGTTTATATTTTAGGGATTTATTACTATCATATAGGAGAACAATTTACCAAAGTATGAAGCCAATCCCAGAACATTGACTTTTTGGGCTGGGGCGATTGAAAAAGAATCTCTCATATGAAGTATTTTGGATAAGTAGATTGTTAATAAACAATTAGTTAACATTGCAATTGTTTATAACCAATCTACTTATCCAAAATACTTCATATAGGGCTCGTTGGATGCGGAATTAGCTTAATTTTCAATTGGTTAGTTTAGATTTATGATAACTTTATTTGTTTGTAAGATATTTCATTTTTTATTGTTATTTAACTAAAATTGAACAAAAATACTTCATATAGGGCTTTTGGATGCTTGTTGTTAGTAAAAAATAAAATATTTTACAAACAACTAAACTTATGGTAATTCTGAACTTACCAATTGAAAGTTAAGGTAATTCCACATCCAACGAGCCCTATATGAAGTATTTTGGATAAGTAGATTGTTAATAAACAATTGCAATGTTACCTAATTGTTTATTAACAATCTACTTATCCAAAATACTTCATATAGGGCTCGTTGGATGCGGAATTACGTTAACTTTCAATTACTAACTTCAGAATTACGGTAACTTTATTCGTTTGTAAAATATTTCATTTGTTATAAACATTAATTAATTAATTAATTAATATCTCAAAAACTTTAAAAGATCCCACTTTGAAAATTACATATTTTGTAGGAAATTAGTCAAGCTTTCCATTGAGATAGTTAAAAATAATTTTAAAAAATCCGATTTTGAGATAAACGTAAATTAACATTTTGACCTTGAATTTCAAGGTCAAATGTTATTTAAAAAAAAATTTTTATTAACAGCGTGTAGCTCGTCAAAAAAGCTTTAAAAATCATTATATATATGTTAACTTTTATGCATTCTACTTATAAATATTGTACATTGAAAAAAATTTTTTTTTTCAAAAGTCAAAAATTAAAAACGTTGTAATTCAGAAACTATTTTATTAAATTCAATAATAATTGATTTTTAGACTTTCACCAACAATAACAACATTTTCGAAAAGTATGGATTAAATTCGAGAACTTTTAATTTTTTGTTCGGACATTTCAGGAATTTTGCCTCATATACATATTATATTACATCCTATATATTATGTATTATATCCCTGCTAAAAATAAAATCAGAAATCAGTCTCAAAACGTCAGAAATCCTGACGTTTTGAAACTATTTTGATGTTTTGTGATGCTGCTGACTAATTCTGACTTAAATAGTTTTTATGGGCCTGACGTTTTCTAAAAAGTGACTATTTCTCACTACGTTTTATTTTTTTGTAAAAAGGGTTCCAAGAGAGGTACCAAGGCCACTATCTTCCAATGATATAAAACATTATGTAAAAACTCTAAAATTACATAATGATTATACAATAAATACTCCATTAATTAAAATTAATTCTCAATAATTTAAAAACATTTGCAAAAAATTTTGTATCGTTGTAATTGTATTATCATGTACATTACGAATATAATATTTAAAAATTATTTTTTTCAAATGCAACAATTTTTAATTTTGCAATGAAAAGCCATAAAACCATAAAAGATCCTTCTGGCCTATACTTTTCTTTTTGTCCTTTTCTAACGTACATATAATATATATGGAATCAGGTTTGTAAGACAAGGACAGAAAAGGGAAGGCGTCAATGACTACGACTATACTTTTAAAGTCCCTACTTCAAATTTGTATTTATTATTTTACAGTAAGCTAGTTTCCTTACATTTAGTTATAAGAAAGCAACATATGTTAAAAAACCTATTCTTACCACTGTGTTAACTCTATATATATATATGTGACAGTCCCCGAGAGAAGGGACCTTAGCTCACCAAAACGAATTTCACAGGGCAAGCGTTTGAAGAAGAAGCAGAAACGCGGAACTCGAAGAGTGGGGCGGAACTTCTGAAAAGTTCCCCCACCACACTAACACAACGTTGTGTTTCTGCATACGTGAGCTTCGTCTACTTCGTGTATCTTCGGGTCTCACGTACGCGAAGCTCACGTACGCGAGAGTATAGTTGTGTAAGTAAAGTAGTGGGGCTGATTTCTTGAGTGCCACAATCCGCCTCGAAATGCGCTTGACATACCCATCTTCAAAATGTTATTGTGTCAAAAGCAATTATCCTAATCAGTTTTTGACTTTTGCATGTGAAAAAGCAATTCAAAATCTATCATTTACCATATAAAACTCAATATTGACCTCTGGTGAGCTAAGGTCCCTTCTCTCGGGGACTGTCACATATATATATATATTTGAAAAAAATTAGAAATCGCTGGCTATTTCACATAAAAGTTTATTTTTTTACAACTAGATGAGCAAAAACATTCTGGTCTCTTGTAAAATAGAATATATGAATTGATCGCTCAATCAATCTCTGAGAGAATTTGATCCAGTTTTCACTCAATATAAATTTGATTTGAACCAAATATTGCATCTAATTATAGTGCAGTATGCTAAAAAGAGAAATTAAAATTAGTAATTATTTAGTTGATTTGTGGAAGAATTATGTTAAATTGAATTTGAATAATATAGTAATTAATATATGCATATTAATTAATTCTTATCATTATAATTAATTATGTATGATAGTAATGAATTTGCTAAAACGTGAGCGAAAAACCTGATAAAATTCGCTCAGAGTTTACTTGAGACAATCCGACAGTATCTTATTATTCTAGACTATTTTATTTCTATATTACACATATTTTTTTAAGTTTGAATTCAAAAAATATTTACATACGAATTTTTTGTTTAATTAAATATTTGCTAAAGAAAATTTTATTAATTGAATACATTAATATATGATAAATGGACTAAAAATGTTTTTTGATCAATATAAGAATATACCTATTTTAACTTTACTTGTTAATTCTTAAAAATTATAAAATTTTTTTAAAATAATAATAATAATCATCAACAAAATATGTTGATAAAATTGAAAAAAAGTAATAAGATCTTCTATTTTCATAAAACCGTATTCTATTTTTAAGATCTCAGTTAGGTTAGTTTAGCTCAGGGGTTAGGTATTCGGTTTGCGTTCGTTAGGTTGTGAGTTCGATTCCCTGCGTTTGCGAGATTTTCTTCGATAGGGGTAAATAAATATAATAAATTGTAAAAATAATAATTGAGTATGTGTAACGTAAAGATAAAAAAATGTTGTACGATAAATGATTTTTATTTATTTTTTTAATTAAAAAATATTGATTTTTTTCTAATTTTTAAATATTTGTAGTCAGAATTCATGAGAAATAAGTTAGGAATCTTGAAAACTATTTTATAGAAAGAAATGTCATTTAACATCACAAATAGTCACAGGGTTTAATGATTTATGGTATGGCCAAAAAAAGGGTCAGCTCCGACCCTCATAAAAAATCTGACTACTATTGACGATTCTTTGACTAAACCTCACTTATTGTGGTGTGCTGTGACTGCAATCGTAACAAAAACAGTCTCAAAACGTCAGAGATCCTGACTAATTTTTTGACGTT